GAGCTAGGAAGAAATTACATTTCCGGGTATCGGTAAGACAACACTAATGCAACGATGAAACTTTTTTATTTTTAATCCTTTTGAGATTTTTCTGATTAACAGTTTATCAGTTTATATTCTTTCAATATCTCTTCTGATAAATTACAAACACATGTTAAATACGTTTAATAATAACAATGTAATTTTTTAAAACGAAACCACATATATATGTTTATTATTGGTTTGTTATTAAGCATTTTAAGACAAATGCAACGAAATATGTGAAAGCTCTGTTTGAATAATAATTTAATTGAATATTGCTGGCAAATATCAAGTACGGTTAGCTTGTTTTCATAGCGTATGATCCGTGAAAGAATATTCAAATAGTAATCCGAAAACTTATTGTTCAAACAGAACTGCCAAATGTGTTGTTCAATTCGTCTCGAACTGCTTAAGAACTTGGCAATAATAAAAATATGCAGTTTCATTTAAAATAATTACATTGTTATTAGAAGCTCAGTAGTTAACAATTAAAAACAAAATTCAAATATCCTATTAAGTTGGTTTTAAGAAATCAAATATCTTTTGTATGAAACATGTTTTTATATTTTCAATGGTTACAGAAATAATAGCGTGTATATTAGGGTGGTGTTTATTTTCGACTTTTGAATTTTTTTCTCGACATCCCGCATAATAGTTTCAATTAATAAAAAAATAATCTGTGCAACATTTGAGCTAAAAACGTGCCCCCAGGCTCTTAAACATTAAAATAATTAATTAAATGCTCATAAAATCGTTTTTTTTTCGAATTATCTTCTAAACTATTGATTATATCAGAAAACGTATTAGATAAAAATGAAGAAAGCCTGAAGAAAAACTAAACAATTTTTTCTCAATTTTGGAAGATATAGTGTGTTTTGATTATTCTTTGTCAATGAAGACTAGAAAGATGTGTATTATGTATTTATTTTTGACACTAAAGTACTATTCTTAGGAAATTAAAAAGTTTTTTTTTAAATTACAGTAAATTTCTGTAAATTGTACTGATGGTGTTTTGTATGTTATACATATGTATATAGTAATACGGAAGAAGGTTAAATGGAAAATAAATTGTTCATAACATGTTTCATTTTAACTTCAGTTTATTTACAAACGTTGGTTTCCAGTTAAAGTTACTCTATTTTGTATCCTGGTGACTTTTGCCGATAATAATTTACAGTCTGTAAAACGTAATCTTTATGTTCTTCATTCTTTGTAAATAATTTATTATATTGTTCCATTAATTTAATCCCACTCTCTGCTGTATCATTAACGACTCGAAGTTTATTTACTAACTCCAATGCTTTAATGTTGTTTGATGAAATTCAACGTAATCATTTAACGTGCTTTTAAATAAATACTGGTCATTGTCATTTAGTTAGAAATTAAAAAAAAATATAATTAATGTAATAAAAAAAAAGTTAGACCAGGCGGAACTTGATACGGCGGTCGACTTTGCAGCATTTTCGAAGTCGGGCACTCAGCGGCTGCGCCATCGGTGATTGTAGGTATGTGATTCAATGTTTTCACATATAAGGTACATAGTATAGCGTCAGGCAGTGTGATAATTTAATTTTCTTAGTTTATATATTTTTTTGCTGAATGTAGGAATACGTGATATCATACAATATATTTATTTAATAAAAGAATTACAAAAATTCAAAGTATAAGTTACTTTTTCACGGAAAAAATTGGTTTTTGATTTTTTGAATTACGGCGCACCCTACCAAAAAATCTCAAAAAAATTGCGGACACTACTTATGATAATATGTTGCTACTGTGAAAGGATAAATGTGGTGCCGTTAAAACTTCAAAAAGAAAAAAATATTTTTCATCATTTTTGATTTTTCACAACTAGGATACTCAACTAAACAATCGCAAAAAAATCTCCAACACGCGCCCCGATAAATACTATCTGTCACATTTTTTACAGAAGTTATGCGCATCATTAAAGAGGGAAAATAGAGGAAAAACCTATAATCCGAATTTTCCCTATTACTACCCTCCTGATCGAGAGAGAGGGTTGAAATTTGGCACAGAGTATGTTTTCTTGACAAGCTATCGAATGGTATACTACAAGTCAAAATCGGTCTAAGGGCACTTTTGACCTTCTTATCCTGCTATACCCTTTACCAAAATTTAAAAAAAGGTTTTTAATTTCCTAAGAATAGTCCTTTAGTGTCGAACATAAATATACACATTTTTTCTAGTCTTCATTGATAAAGAATAATCACAACACACTACAACTTCCAAAATTGAAAAAAAATTGTTTAGTTTTACTTCAGGCTTTTTTCATTTTCTTTCGGAAACCGGTCGATGTAGGAAAAAATGCAATATAACATAAAAGATGCGTCGTTTCTAGGTCTACAAGTTTTGTCTCATACGTTTTCTGATATCTTCAATAGTTTAGAAGATAATCGAAAGAAACCGATTTTATGAGCATTTAATTAATTATTTTAATGTTTAAGAGCCTGGGGCCACGTTTTCCCATTACCCTATCGAGCTCAAATTTTGCACAGATTATTTTTTTTATTAACTGGAACTACAGTCAGGATAGAGCATCAAAGACACTCGGGTGCCGCTCCAATGCACAGCGCATGGAATTCCGGTGTATACGCTATTATTTCGTTAATCATTGAAAATTTGAATACATGTTCCATACAAAAGTTATTTGATTTCATGGAACAAATTTAATAGAATATTTGAATTTCTTTTTTAATTGTTATTTACTGAGCTTTTCATAACAATATAATTTTTTAAAATGAAACTGCAGATTTTGATTATTGCCACGTTATTAAGCAGTTCCAGACGAATTGAACAACAGATTTGGAACTTGTGTTTGAACAATAATTTTTCAGATCACTATTTGAATATTCTCTCGCGGATCATACATAGGGGAAAGGTGTCTAAAACTATCCCTTTAAGGCGTAATTTATATAAAAAATACAAATGCTCATTATTTAAATAAAAGTAAAGTAGTTTTTGTAAGTTAGTCTATCTATCTTATCATTGGCTTAAATAAAATTTAGCTACGTGATCAATTATATTTTTTACTCACATTTCTTTGAAGGCATACTTAAGGATTATTTTATACCTAAAGATAGTAAATACGACGAACATTAAAAAACATTTCAGTTATTACATTTTATTTTAATGAGCTTTGACGCGTTGTTTTTCTTTCATACTGACGGAGCATTGTTGTAACCAGAGATGGGCAAACTCATTAGCTAGATAAAAAGTTTCGAATAACGAATAAAAGATAAAAAAAGTATTTCGTCATTTCTAATTGTTTAAACATGGAAATTTCAATTTGTATAATAAAATAATACTTCTTTATGAATGAATCGACATTTGTCGAAGAATTATTTAATCTCATTAACTGTTTAAAGCTCAGAACGACACCCTTAGATACTGCTGCTTTTCACTGTTATTATTCGAAAAAAATTCTGCCCGACTCTGGTTGTGACTAAAACAAAAAACAATAATATAGGATATGGGTAAAATGATTCCTGGGATCATTTTATCCTACTAGAGAGGGATCATATGACCCTAAAAACCCAACTCACATTCAGTGGTTGAATATAACATCAATTTATTACATGTGTTAACGAAACATTAATTAACTTACTACTGATTTGTGGTTAAATCCGTGCAAGAAGCAGGTGTCACATTAAATCGTTTATGACAAAAGTTACACAATATTGAAACAGACCTTATCTTAGATAAATTGCAGTAATTTTACATTTTTCTTGTGGACAACATACAGAGCACTGATATTCACATGGCACTTCGAGCAACGACTAGTGACGTGCGGGGAGAACTATCGTAGAACGACATTACGATATAGCACCACTAATAACCACAGAGCAGCCAGCAATCATTTTACCCCAAGGGATCGTTTTAGACACCTTTTCCCTACGTTATGGAAACAAGCTAATTTGAAGCGATATTGACAGAATATGAACTGTTAACACTTTCTACATGAGTAAATACGATCCAAATTATGTCGTATTTGGTATCATTTTGATCAGAAAAATCTCACTAATATACTAGTAAGACTTCGACTAATTGTTTGCCGACAAATCAAGTGTAGTTGGATCACATCCAGTCACACGTATTTTTATTATTGGCAGAAACCAGTAGCCATTGACCGGCAAGGGCATCACAGGCGGGCCACGCAGCAGAGTCGAGTGTAAACAGAAGCTTTCTCTGAGTTTTTCACTCGCTTGTCCTTTTCTATGTTCGGAATACTACAAAGGCGAGTTGCCGAGGCTCGAGCTTCGGGCAAAAAACGTATTTACCAGGGTCAGAAGCGTTTTGCGTATTCTACGATTATTGTCCTGGCGCGGACTCGAGTTCGGGACAATAATCGCAAGGTCCCTGTATCGTTTCATTTAAAAAATTGATGAAACAAATTATGAGTCATGGAAGCTCCAAATGAAGAGCATATTAATTTGTAATGAATTATGGGACTATATTAAAGATGAAACAAACCAAATTCAATGGACTACTAAGGATGAAAAGGCACTAGCATTACTTCTCTTATCTGTATCTAAGAGTCAAGTAAACTATATTAAAAAGTCTAAGACGTCAAATGAAGCGAGGAAACGGCCAAAAAAGATTCATAAGTCCAAAGGCCCGGTGAGGAAAGCAGTTCTGTATAAGCAACTGTATCGCTTTAGAAAAGATCCAACAAACACAAAAAAATTACATACGCTATTACGTTGCTTGCAAAAAACAATACTGCTTATTTCTTGTTTATGTTTTTCTAATATTTAATATTTGTAAGAAAAACGCTGGCTAGTAATAGTTTGAATACCCTGTACATTAATGTCCAATTGTTTTCCACCAGCGAATAATGAAATAATTCTGTCGGCATATTTTCAAGGCGATGGGGTTTACCTATCCAGTTAATGTAATTCTTTGGAAATAGTTCTTTCGTAAGGGGGCATAAAATTGATGCCCGACGATCAACGGCCTACCTGAACCAGGCCATGGAAAATATCGTCTAGGATACCCGGCTCCTGAGTTAAGGATCTCGTGGTAAGCCTCTTACGGCGTCTCTTGTGCATCGTCAGGAATCGACCAGTGGGCCTGGGTCTGGAATGGCCAATATCCAAACTCTCCAGGAGGATTCGATCCACTTCCGATAAACGTCTGAACGCCGTTTCTCTTGTCGGTTCATCGTGGACTTCCGTAATGGTTGCTGGCACATCTGGCGATGGTAACGCGACGCTTTCTGTAAACCGATTAAAAACAACTAACGTTATCTGCTGATCGATATAATTTTTATAAAGAATTTAACAATGAGTTTGTTACTTAAGTAACTGTAAATTCAGAGAGTTTGGTTAAAATCATCACGTGACCTTAACACTAGAACTACGAGACCTGTCAAAATGACGGATTGCAGATTTCGTATTTTACCATTATTGAAATTATATAGTGCTGTTGGCGGAAGTTATGTTGACTTTTAATTTATTATACATTTTATGTTGTACTATATTATACTAGATTACACTATATGTTATGTATGTTATTATATTATACAATTTAATTCAGTGTACATTCAACGTTCGTAGTTCTAGTGTTAAAGAAGGCTGATTCCTGGTACAGGAATAGAAAATAATGTCCTAAACTGTTTTCATGTACGAAGTTTAATTTTCCACAAAAGAGGGACCTGAACGTTGATCAACAGACTGCGAATGTTTGTGCAAATATGAACGTTCACAGATTAATTTACAGAAACTACAATTCAACAGAAATATCTTTACTCTATTAAGAATTCGTTGAGGGTCTAAAGAAAATAAAAATCTCTTTAAATTGTATCAACATTTTTTAGTATATCGAACTTTCGACACCTGAATATGCTATAAATGTAGAAAATCTGCAGTTTATTTATCAAATACGTATGCTGTTAAATATGTTTCAGTTACTTATTTACCGTTTCTACTTATTGTACAGAGTTCACGTTGACAAGCCCCTCTACTGCTAATCTAGCACTAGAAATTTGGGGAAAAATCTGGTAAACGTTTGGGATCCGACAGATTTGCGTATCAAGTTAGTTGAATCAGTTCAGTCGGACTTGAACGAGCCGGATGAAACGAGCCAGCAAATCAGTGAGGCACATGTAATCAAATCCACCTGTTGTAGAACATTGACAATAAGGAGGAGGAGGTAAGACAGAAAAGTGCTATTAGTCAATCGAGCGATCGCGGAATCGTATTCACTGTTCTCTGTAATTTCATCATCAGCTCCAAGTCCAAAGGGAAATCTTTATTAAGCGGTTAGATACCTTTGAGCTGTTAAATTAGAGGGATAATTTGAAAAATTAATTGTACATGCAGAATTATTGTTTATCAAAAATTTATCATATACATCTTATTATATGTTATTTTCTTAGTCATTTCTGAAAAATTGATCTACATATCTATCAATAGAAGAAAATGGCTGCCATTTAATTATAACCCGTTTCTTCAAATCACCATCTTCGGTACTAGATAAATCTCTGGCTTTTATCTGAAACAAGTTTTCTTACTTTTATATTAAAGAAGACAAAAGGAACTATGTAGCACTTATCGAAACCGATTTTGAAAATATCAATATTTTACAAAATGGAGGCTGTTTGAAATTAAACATGTAGTTTCCGACATAAATTTTCAACTTCGTTTGCTACTAACAAAAGAAAAAATGCACGAATCAAAAACTCGCTTCGTCGAATATTACCACAAAGTTTTATTGAAACTGGTAAGTAGTCTTTTAAATATGTCTGGTATCGATTTCGAAAACTACATTTCGAGTAGAACGCTTGAAAATGGCAGCCATTTTCTTCTATTGACAGATATATAACTCAATTTTTCAGAAATTTCTAAGAAAATAACATATAATAAAATGTATATGTTGAACTTTTAATAAACAATAATTCTGCATATACCAAAAAGTTTGTCAAAGTTTCCTCTTATTTGACAGCTCAAGGGTATGTAATCCATTAAGGGTATATTCTGGTGTAAGCGCAATAAAGAAACAGTTTTAAGATTTTTATAAATAAAAACTATAACAGAGTAAACAATCAGTCTGAGGTTTATTAATATACATTTTACGATAAAAAAACTTTTTTTTATGTTCTTTTATTTAGTATATACTGCAAAAACCAACAATGACTGTGACGTTAAAGAAAAGGGATGTCCAATCGGTGTACTTAAATCTTGAGATAACACTCATCTGAAGTCAAAGACTGAAGTTCTTCTTAGAACTTACAGAGATGGTTATCGTATCAAGCACATTTATTGGAAAATAATTCAAATTCGCTGACTGATATTTGCTTTTTTTTGTGACAATGTTCCAAGAATACGTAGTCTTTTCAATAGAAAATGTTAAATAAAGAATAGATTAGTTAAACAAACCTGACTCTGCGTGATACGATAACCATCCCTATGAGTTTTAAGAAAAACTTCGGTTTCCTGATTTCGGATGTGTGGATCTCGAGATTTTATGTATACCGTTTGGATATTTGTTTTTTTTAACGCCAGTCATTGTTGGTGTTTGCAGTATATATTGAACAAACTAACATAGAAAAAATTTGTTCTATATTTGAAAATGTATATTAGCAAACCCCAGGCTAATTGTGTACTTTATGTGTTATAGTTTTCATTTTCAAAAATCCTAAAAATACCGTTCTTTTTTTTAACAACGTTAACAGTAAACGTACGTTAATAATTTTCATTTAAGAAAATATAATCAAACCCACCATTTGTTAAAACTGACATTTCATGTGCACCAACATAATATGTATTTAAATAAAAACATTTTGGGCAAAACGGTGAAAACAGTAACACTTTGAAATTTACTTTGAAATGTCAACATTGTTTAATTAAAATAAACGTTTAAGATCCCACCAGTAGAAGGGTCGTTCTATGTGAATTATTCACATAAAGTTTTTTCACGTGAAACTGTACATAATGATATTCTAGGTTTTGCTCCATTTCCATATTTATAAATTACAATGAGGTATCCGGTATACAATCTTGCTTCTACATAAATAGGGTCTGTTTAACATCTTATCAGTATAAAAGTATTAAAGTAAAAACATCGAACGATAAATTACGCTATGTTTGGAAATATAATGTACGAAGGGTACACACCATCTTGTAGGCCTAAAAAATATAGAAAAAATATAAGATTTTTTCTCGGTTTAATAATTGAGTAAAATTAACTTTATTTTCATACCTTAATTATTATTTAGAATTAAACAGTGGCAGAGTTATACACAATCGTCTGTGTCGTGTCGTCTCTGAACTTATTCATCTGATTAACTTCAAATCTGGATAGACTATTCCTTACAAAATTATCTACAATGTAACGTAGAATTTTTTACTAATTTGTAAAAATACAAAAATGGCATCTTCGTAAACAAAACAGTTTCATTCACTGAAAAATATCAACATTGAAAAGTCCATAACAATTCAATAAATTAAAATATCACAAAAATTGTACGCTACGTTGTAGATCATTTTATAAGAAAGAACTGTCCGAATTGGCAGTTAATCGGATGAATATCTTTGAAGTTCTGGTAGGTGTTATCTGACAAGGTCCTGCCAGACATGACGGTGGAGAATATAACTCCACAACTTCGTAATTTTAAATAATAACTGATACCTATATGAAAATAAAGTTAAAATTTTGTCTAGCACCCTCCAATATTTGCTCTATAATTACCCGAGAAAAATGTTTTTAAATTCACCTATTTTTTTTTAGGCCTACAAGGTAGTATACCGTATACCCAGTTGTGAATTTATCACAACTAAATTTTTGTTTGTCCCCTGTTTCGGTCAATCAATTTAAGCAATTTATCCCGGGATAGGGACTTCGATGGTGTAGGGGGAAATAAATGTTAAGAGATTTCTTGATATTAAAATCTTTACTGATTTGTGTTAAACGTTTAAAATACACGTTCGAATGACTGGTAATATAACGAGGTGACTCGACAACTGATTGTCTAAAACTGGCCCCGAGCTCTCCAGTTCGAACCTTTTTAAGATGCCCGTTTCCACCCCCTGTCCTCGGGGTTTTTCCTGTAAAAATCCAATGCCGAACGTCTCGGGGTAATTTCCCACCATTACCACGTGCTGAGCCAACTCCAGGCAACCGCGCGATTTCTCCAACGTGAGAAAGCGCCGGAGACATAGTCGAGACGCAACACCCCGATGTTCAGAAATTTTCGAAGGACAAGTCCTCGAAGATTTCCGCACTTCGAGTGGTACGTCTCGGTTCGTACTTAATTTATTACGGTAACCCTGGGTGGCCCCAAGCATGCACAGTGTGGAAACGCCCGGCTAACGCTCGGGGACAATTTCTGGGTTTTGTCAACCACTCTAATAGTTTAATAATTTATTCCCGGGAACAGGAGATGGTCGTAGCAATTCGTTACGGACGTAACAACCCCTTGAAATTCCTGAAAGTTCTCACTATTATTTCGAATAAATCGTATGTATATAATTTGTGCATACATATCATTGTATATCCATAACACATATGATTATTACATGATGATTTTATTATGATTATTTCTGTTTGTGAGTAAGGATAAGGATTCTAACAAGTGTGTACAATTTCCGTCAAACACCATCAAAATAAATTCTGTATGGATCATTTCACGTTAAGTAGATCACTTTTTTCCACGTTGTCTGGGATTTGCTCACATCGAACTATGTTATAGACCATGTCAAAATAAGGGGTTTAAGTCATTATTTTGCTGGTTTCGAAATTGTTTAAAAGATTTTATGAAAACAACCTAAACAAAAGAATTGTTATCATAAAAGATCTTTCTTTTTAACTAATTTGTTGTTTCATAGGTAAAAGTTATTTTGGCCATGCAAAAATATTAAAAATATTCTTGTTTTGCAAATTCGACCACCGGTCAAGTTCGAAAAAATTTGGAAAAAAAATGTTCGTATTCTTTGATCTTTACTCTTTAAAATTCTTTTCTTTAATTGGCGGTCATTCGAAAATTATGCTCGGAGTCACCCGTTCTACCGCTCTCCTCAGATAGTCTCGGAAAACCCGATGTCCTTTGTATCGTGGACGATATTAATTAAGTCGTACAGTACCTGCAGTACCTACTGTAGTCAATAAAATGAGACTATTGGTGTCCCTAGTATGAAGAATTTTGTATTATTTTCCTGTGTCCTAATTCTTTTACGACTCCATTATTACTGTTCGTGTGTTATGTTGCTGTGACCACTC